AGGAATATTTCCCCTTTTCAAAAGTGTTGAATATTAGATAGTGAAAATGTGTGTAGGTCTACTTATGTGATTGAACATGAATTTAAGGAATGGAAATAAAGAATTTCCTATCTCTGAGAAGGTTCTTTCAGGTCGCGTAAATACACTTTGAAGTACCCAATCCAGTTGCGATTAAAGTGCTCTGTCCTGCAACTTATTCACAAAAATGCAGAGGGACTGGATAGATGAATAACTAGCCCCAAGACTCCCCAGGAATTTTCCCAGTTTTGACCACAACGATGTACTGTTGGACAGAAAAGCTCACATCACTCAATGAACAAAGTCCTGAGTTCTCTTCCTTGAGGAATTTGTTGCCGTGTGCACACCCTGACCACGGTTGGTGGAGGGCTGTTTCCTTCTGGAAGCACCCCAGGCTGGATATTGAGTGAGGAGTGCTGCAGGGTCTGTCTGGGCACAAAGCAGGGGGGTTCTCCGCCCTGTGGTGCATTCTTCCTCCTTACTCACATGTTCTGGCTTTTTGATAAACTGCACTATCCCAGTCAAAATCTCAAGGTTTTCTTAAGTGGAAAGTAAATTTTCCAACAATATTAAGAGAAATAATATTAATGGAGTGCTTTTTAGGAGATTATCTGATATATAGTTAGTGCCTTACAAATATTTGTTAAGTAAATTAAACTCTGTCGACGAAAAGCTAATTGCACTTAAAATAGGACAAAGCATTTGCTCAAGTGTTTTGATATTTGCTGGATTAGAAATTCCATTATTAGGCACACCTGGGTGGCTCAGTGGCTTAATGGTCCGACTTCGGCTCAGGTCATGATCTCCAGTTCGTGGGTTTGAGCCCCATGGTAGGCTCTATGCTGACAGCTCAGAGCCTGGAACCTGCTACAGATTCTGTGTCTCCCTCTCTTTCTGCCCTCCCCTGCTTGCACCCTCTCTCTGTCGCTCTTTCAAAAATAAATAAACATTAAGAAAATGCACAGTACGAGATCCTGACCTGAGCCAAAGTCGGACACTTAACCCACTCAGCCACCAGGTGCCCCTGGGATGGTGCATTTCTAATGAGCTCTTAGGTGATGTAGCAAGGATGTGGTTTGTGAGTCTTTCACACATAGGCCTGTAAAGATATGTAAAAAGCATTCACTGTAGGGGCGCCTGGGTGGCTCAGTCAAACATCTTACTCTTGATTTTGGTTCAGGCAGGTCATGATCTTGCGGTTCATGGTTCATGGGTTCGAGCCCTGCATTGGACTCCTTGCTGACAGCGCAGGGCCTGCTTGGGATTCTCTGTCTCCCTCAGACTCTGCCCCTCCTCTGCTTGTGTTCTCTCTCTCTCTCTCTCTCTCAAAATAAATAAGCTTAAAAAAAAAAAAAAAGCATTCAATGCAGTATTGTTTGTAATAAAGTAATACTGAAAGCCACCTAAAGGTCCATCAACAGGATGAATTAATTACAGTATATATGGACAATGGAACACTATAGAGCACTTAAAATGGATAAACTATGGCTACATGTATCATCATAGATAAATCTCAGAATGTTGAGAAAAAACAGAAAATACAAAGGTATTTGCACATTACGATGCCATTTACATTAATTTTGAAAGCATAAACAACAACACTGTATTCTTTATGGATAGATACGGTATTAACATAATATACATGAGAATAATAAATACCAGATTCAAGATTGTGGTTTATCTGGGAGGGACAAAGGTCAGAACTGGGGAGAGGGGCACAGTAGGCTTCAACTGAAGCTATGTTTTATTCTCCTAAAAATAACAGAATATAGCAAAATGTTAGGATTTGATGGTGCTGGGGAGCTTGATGATGAGTGCCTGTATGTCTATTTCATTGTCTTCTCTACTTTGCATCTGTGAAATAATTTCTAATTTTTAAAAGTTTTTAATTAATGTATACCCTGGTTCAGAGCAACATTATTCACCATAGCCTAAAGGTGAAGCAGCCCAAAAAGCCATCAACAGGTGAATAAACAAAATGTGGCAAGTACATATACTGGAATATCACTCAGCCTAAAAAGGAAGAAAATGTTAACATACACCACCACATGAACCTTGAAAATATGCTAAATAAAATAAACCAGTCACAAAAGGACAAAGAGTGTATGATTCAACTTGTATGAGCTACCTAGAGTAGTCAAAGTCATAGAGAAAGAGAGTAAAATGGTGGTGGCCATGGGGCTGGAGAGAGGGAGAAATGGGTGTTATTGTTTAACGGGTTATGGAGCTTTGGTGTGAGAAGATGGAAAAAGTTCTGGAAACAGTTGGTGGTGACAATGTAAGACAGTGTGACATGTACTCAATGTCACTGAAAGGCAGACTTGAAAATGGTTAAAAATTATAAATTTTATATTATGTACATTTTACCACAACTTTTTTTAAAGTTTTTAATTTAAAAAATCGAGGGTCAAAGAAGAACCAGTAAAAGACATCTTGGAAATCATATGAGGGAATACCATGTAGTCAAAAAGAGTAAGATCCACACGTGCTGGTAAAGAATGATTGCCAAGGCACACTGGTCACCAGAAAAATGAAAATGTGTATGGAAGGCCACCATTCATATTGCATAGGAGATCTCTGGAAAATACCTAAGAAACTGGTAACTGCCATTGCCTCGTGAGAGGAAAACATGGCAGCATGAGTTCATGGGTGAATACTGGCCTTATCTATTCAAAAACCTCAACCGATTTTTAAAGAAGATCAATTCTCTAAGTTCTCCATGCTACTAAGAGGACTAAAAATAAATAACTGGAAATCACACCTAATACCCCAATTCTGAGTAACTGAGGAGTCAAGTGACATGCCCGGGGGGACACAGGTGACAGAATTGGCACCGATTATCCTAGAATGCACTTTTTCTAAATGTTTGAAGTATTTAACGAGTCTTTAAAAATGTCTACTTCTGTACTGCCAGCTTATTGAAGCAGAAAACATCATATTTTCCCCAAAATAAATTATGCTTGGGAAAAGTTTTTGTATTTTGCATTTTGTAGTTTAGTTTTTATATTGTCAGCATCATTTCCACATATATTGTAACATTTGCCCCATATGTAATTTTTATAATTTTAACAATCTCCTTTGATAAGACATTTTTCTAGTCCTTTCCTTCCAATTTGAGGCTCTCATCGATCATTATTTCTATTTAGCTTCCGTATTTGTTGTTTACCTATCCAAATATGCATGGATAATGGGTTCTTTTAAAGCAAAATAGACATTTTTTAAAATCACAAAAATCATACATACACACATATGTGCATTCTGATTCCCAATCCACCATTTTTCCCATTCTGCATACTTTAGCACCTAAAGTTATAAAAAGAATACAGCCCTTGTTATTTCCTAACATGATGTCTGCCCTTACATTATTTATGGATTAACAACTCTTCTCCTCCACTAGATGGTTTTTAGCCAAAGATCCTGCTCCCAAAGTAGTGTACCAACCACATTCAAACTGCTAAGATTTAGAGAGTCCACAGGGTGGCACTAGATACCTTTGGTCAAAGTCCATAACCCAGTAAGCTACTTCTAAAAAAACAGGGATAGAGAAGAGCCTCTGGCATTAGCAAAGATTAAAAATTAAAGCTACTATGACAGACATCTTGTTCCTGTCTGGAGGGATGGCTGCCAGCCAAAGTATATTTGAAGCTCTAATTACATACTTAAAGACAACCAAAGTACCAAGCAGACGTTATAGACTCCTATGATGAAGCATATTTCTTCCAGTGGCAAATATCCATCTGTTCCTTTGAACGTACTTCATTATACATACATACAACGTACTTCCGTACACTTCCTCCTAATACGCTTTTCTCTCTCTATCCATGTATCTCCACATCTTTCTCTCTTACACACACATACACACATGCATCTACACACCATGCAATGTACTTTTAAGTGATTTTTTTTTTTGGCAAAGATTCATAATCACATCCCTATTAAATATTTACAGTTCAAAACTGTTGCCTGTCTTCATCTTTTTGTAGGTTTCTACTTTTCAACAGTTTGTGAATATCCCACAAGTAGGAATAAAAGTTGGTGGATTTTCAACTCAGATGATAAAAATCTTAAAATTCATCACAAAAATACCTATTTCTGATCTCTTTACAATCTTATATTAATTTATAACAGACTGTGAAATTTCATTACTAGTCTTTTACATACAGGCAATTGTAAAGGATAACACCCAGCAATTGATCTTGAATAGATTTTCAGCAAATAAGCTTCAGAAATGCCTGAAGAAAGAAAAGCTGAAAAGCTCTAGTGGTTAAAAACTCTCTTTTTTGATGCCCATTATCATAGCCTTCTTTTAAGTTAAAAATCTCTTAGAGATGATTTAATAAAATGTGCTGCCTTGAGTATTTTTACAACACACAGACAGATTCAATGTGATCTATTCACTTCATTCAGAAACATTTTTTTGTGCAGACACAAGAATTTTTCCCACGACAGTAAGTGTATGTGTCTTGCATTCTGATTAAACAAACCGTAACAGCACCTTCCAGCCCTATAATCTACAAAAGCACACTGCATATAGTAACCCAGAGTACTTAAATGACCATAGCTCAATATTTGCATATATAAGCTAATTATAAGAGTATTTTATATGTGAAACACTCAAAAGATTAATGGGTAGATCCCTTTTTACATTGTTTATTTTCAGAAGCAGTGATTATGGTCCTGCTAAGCCCAAAGTTCCTTAGAATTTGAAGGAAAGATAAATTTTAAAATACATCAATAAAATTAAGAACTTGCTCCAGGCTCAGGCTAACTCCAGTGATGTACAGAAGAAGTCGTGTGAGCAGCTAGGTCAATTCTACCGCAAGCCCAAGAGCTAACATACTCTGTATCAGTTCAAGAAGTCTGGCAGATCATATGCAGACTGATGAATGGGAAACCTAGTCATTGACCATAAGCATTGAAAATAACGCCTCAGTGCTGACAATGTACCTTTTCCCTGTGATCTCCAACTCATAACCAAACAATTTGCAGACAAGACTCAGAAACTGTTTTATTAAATTGAACACAAATGCCTGTTATAATAATGTCAAGCTTTTATCAGAAATCAGTACAGAAGTGAGGATACACAGCCAAAATGAGCCATCAACATAAGCAGTGTAAATTTTAAATAACTTTTGGATTTCTATATTCGATATGCTAAAAAAAAAAAAAAACCAAAAGAGCAATTTCAATTTCACAATTCACAGTTGTGTAAAACCACAGTTGATTGGTTTTAATCTCATACTTTTGCCATTTTATGGCCCCAGAATGCAAAGATTTCCAAGTCAGTGACTGGCACTTAGCCCCAACAGCATACACAGATGTTAAACCCCTGAATGACATTTAGAAAAAATTTTAGGAAACAACCCCAATTTCATACAGTTCTGGCTGGCGCTTTTTAGCCATATCCTTTACTAGATATTGTTCTAGTGAAACAGCAAAAGCCAATTTTAAAAGTTTGCCATGCCATTAAATGAAGTGTTCTAAAGTCTCCCTTGGTTTTTTATGATTTTATTCTCTAATTTAAAACAATAACTACACTAAAATGCAACCTTAACAGTGAAAGCAAAATCAGTTTTGCTTCTGGATCTAGAGCATACATCCAAGACAGGCAACATATTGCCCTAGCAGATGCATGGAATGCTTGAGAGCAGAATCGGACATGCTCTAGTAAGGCATTTCAAAGCAGACACACCATACCCAAACTAAATTATTATGGTCAGCTGAGGATACCACAAGGTGAACACCAATGTACACAGAATTAACAAGAAATTCTTACAAAATGACACACTGATTTACAAAACCACAGAAAGGTGCTCAAGTACCAAAGAAGGCAAAACAACGACCAGCCGCTCTAAAAGAGTTTTGTTCCAGTAAATGCCAGATTTGCAGAGTAGAAATAAACTTCATGTGTGCTTTGCCCTAGGATATCACTCATCCTGACACATGGGGTTACTTTTCCTTAAAAAAATATATCATGTCGACAATATACATTGATTCAGTGATATAGAACATTTATTTTCACTAGTGAGGGGGTCACTTAAGCACTTACATAGAAAAAGGAGTGAGTCATGAAGGTTATTCAAATGCAAAAAGAAATCTCATAAAACCTGCATTATTAGTCAGTATTCAACAGTGAAGTGAGATTTTTAGTAATTACATTGGCTTAATGAGGAACATGACCATGAAAAAAAGCTTTAAGTTCAAAGAATCGTAAAATGCCTAAAAACGAAAGTCTAACTAGTAAAAGTACATACTTTCATTTTAAGGTCCCCAAAGGAATGTTCAGTTATTTTGGAAGCCATGATTTGTATCATACAAGCACAAGAATAGGAATCAGGAATAGTCAAGTTTCAATTCTGACTTATTTGTTCAATCTTCATGACCTGGAGCAAGTCACATAAATTCTTCAGATTTTATCCACAAAAAAATTTGGCATAAAAATAAAGGCATATGTCAAAAAACTTTTTTTCTAGACAGTACTAGAGTAAAGCTAAAGATGCTTACTAAGGCTTACAATTTCAACAACTCATTGTACAGTACAATCGTTTTTGATCCTGCTAATTATGGCTAGAGGAAGCATGGACAATTACAATTCTCAGGGAATTCAAAGTCCTTAAATAAGTTAATGGTTTCAACTTTCTAAACTACAAAATCTGTTCTTCTCAAGTTGTTTAAAACCACTAATCATCTACAGGTTTGACTTTCCTCCTCTCTACATTCTGGTGGAGCAGGTAAAAGTAATGACAGAGATGTAGTATCGTGGAGAAAAGCAGCAATAGATTAAAATGAGGTATACACTGATTTAATAAACCCCAATTGGTAATTTACAGTTTTTTTAAGAAGCTGCATAGTTCAGCAAAAATACATCATAGAAGAGGGGTAAAGAAAAAAGTTCTTATCATCGAATTTTAAAATGTGTGACAACTAAGCATTTAAAATGACCAACCCCCAAAAATGTCAGGTTGGAAAGAACTGTCTTCCTTTATGCTACGCACATATAAAACAGAAACCTAGAAAGCTAAAGTTCACGAGAGAAAAAAAAAAAAAAAGCATGTTATTTGGTTCAGGTTATCAACTTAATACACTGCTTTTTAAAAGATACTAATTTAAACAAATAATAAACTCTAGTTAATGACACCTATGCTGAAGTGTGTAAGGGAAATGTACTGTCTGAAATTTACACTGAAATATGGATTTTAAAAAACTCCATGGATGGATGGATACAGGGGTGGATGGACATGTGGTAATACAAACCTAGTAAAATGATGATGGTAGAATTTACTGGTGCATATATGGTAAAATTTTTCAACTGCAATGTACATTTAAAATTTTTCATAATAAAATGTTGAGGAAAATGTTAATATTTCTACAATAAAATTAATTTAGCAGTGTGTTTTAAAGACTCAAAGTACCCAGGCAATTTAGAATTTTAAATTAATTGAAGTAGGGAATTTTTGTTTTAAAAGTCCTCACCCCTGATTTGTGAAGATCCTTTCTTTAACATAGAGATGAATTAACACGATAAGTATTGTGGCAAGGGTAAGATAGTCTCTTCACACATCTCGTTTGCAAGTAAATAATTCTCTCCTCTCTCCTGGATAGACATGTTGGGAAAAGACCACTGGAAAAAAGTTCTTCCAAACATCAATGTCAAGCCCTTTTCAACCCACCACACTACTATTCACTAAATATAAACGTAACACAGATTAAGGTGAAAAGTAATCTGACTATTGCAAGCCTGGGATAACTGGATTTATTTTCAGGGGTATGGTTCCTGATCAATAATGTTAACAATTTTATTCAATATCAAATTGAAATTGCACTAAGCAAAAAAAAAAAAAAAAAAAGACATAGAACACAATTCACACAGACCTTTGCTATTCCAAGCTTCTGTTTTATGAATTGTGATTAATGGCAATAATTCTATCATCTCTTCTCTCTGTAAAATGCTAAAACTTGCTAAAGGCACTCATATTCTGGGCTTAACGGAGACAGGGTCACATGGGACCACAAACCAGTATTGTTTTTTTGGTAGCTACCCAGAAAGGGAGTTTACAAATGATCTTCCCATTCATAATGGGAAGAAAAGGTCAAAGAGCTATCAGTAGGAACGTCGTATGAGAAGCTATTTACACAGCTATTTGTCCATTCAGCTAGACCGATAGTAATAACTTACAATGGTAGAGGTCCACAACCCCCCCCCAAAAAAAAACACAAACCCAAAAAACAAAAGCAACAACAAAACACTATTATGTATGAAACTCCTGAACAATGATTTGGCTGTTAAAAAAAAAAAAAGTTGGCAAGGTGGAATATTTTTCAAGCATTTGTTCAAAAGCCTGCATTAAATTTTTGCCTATATTGACAAAATATTTCTATTTCTAAGGAAGCTTTATTGTTCTTAGTATATGCCTCACCAAGTTCTTCAAAGAGCACTTCCAGCCTACATCCTGATATTAAGGAAACAAAATAGGTTCCAAATATACCATGCCTAGACCTCTCTGTAGAGGATACTCCGCCTAACGGTTACATGTCTCCCCTGACACAAGTAAGGCTCTTTTTTACACAGGTCACTGGACAGTCCTCAAGTTGTCATTGCTCATGGTCCCAGCCAATTCAGGAGTGAAGAAATCCTAAATCCCACCGCTAATCTTTAGAATCTATCTACAGAGAAAGATTTAACCAAATATATATACATATGTTTATATATAAACATGAAATATATATTTCTCCATTTATCTTCATTGAAAGTGTAGATAGGTAGCTATAAGCAAGCATTATCAGTTCTATAGAACAGCTTTATAAAACAAGGTGGAAGATTTCATGCTTCCCTTTAGCATGTTTAAGTCAGAGGAACATAAGGATGATCTCAGACAGCCATGATTCTTCATTCAATCTCAGGGTTTCAAAAATCCTAAATGGTTTTCTAAGTTTACCAACTAATTACAAGGGGAAATAATGAGGGAGTTGGAGAAGTTACTTTTTCTAAATGAATGGTATAAAATATTATTCATCTTGCAGAATCCAGTGCAATAAGAGACAAGCAGACAAATGTAATAAAAAAACATGCACATATTTACAAGTTGCAGTACATAATATACAAAGACAAGACCAACAAAGTATTTTTCTGTTCAATGTGGAGTCAAAAGGATTACATGGCACACTCAATTTTGTAGCTTAACCTTTTGAAAAAAACACTTCAAAGGCATATGCAATCCAACCTTTTAATTGGAACATGGAATTTTTCCTTTACAACTTCTTGCCCTCAATATCTTAAGAGTTTCTAATTGTTATCTTCTAACATTGACTTTGAATGACAACTTACACAAAGATATTCACAGAGAAAAGAGACTTTGATGCTATGAGTTCTTGCAGATGATTACTGAAATCTATTTGTTTGACTCAAGATTTTCCACTGTTTAGGCCTCTGTCCATCCTTGTATACAGCATATAAAAAGATAATAACATGACTCCTGGGGAGCACAGGGTGCAAATTCTAAAGCACATTACAGAGCGGGAGTGGACTTCACAACATGAAACCAATGGAGATCACTTATCACTGCAGCAGGAACAACAGCCTTCTTCGACAGGGGAAAAAACACTGTCTACAGGGAATGTATGACTGTGAGAAATTGTACCATGCAGAGATGTGTTTATTTAGGTATTTCCTTTCTGACAACCTCTGTCACCCTTTGTTTCACCTATGGAATATAGGAGAATATTGCAAGATAACAAGCCCAAAACAACCCACTGTCACAGAGATTTGTGGGGTTTTTTGTTTTTTGTTTTTTGGATGTGTATGTAACCTCTATAAATGATCATGGAAGTTATCAACTTCCTACAGTTTGGAAATTAAGGAGCAAACTGAGTTATTGTAGGCAATATGGTATCTAAAGTGTCATATAAAACAAACACATAGCTCTTTTTTAGTGCAAAGAAATAGAGCAAGTAAGAAATAACACTATAAATCTAACTTTTCTTTAAAGAAAATGCGTTTATGCATTCATAACATCCATTAAGGGCACTGGGAGACTGGAAACCTGAATGTGCAAGGCCAGGAAAAACATCAAGGCCTTTAAGTCCACTGCTTTTTGTACATATGTAATGAGATTGTTAAGTGGGGAGAGTGGGTGAAATCCTTCCTTTAATTTTATTTGTAAAGGAAAAATGGAAAATAGATAAATGCCACTTTTACAAACTGTAAATTCTTATTCACAATCCTTTACTGTTATCTGAAATAAAGATCCAATGAAATTTTCTCTGTGGTATCACATAAACATATGTGTGTATATGTATATAAATATATACACACATATATGTGTGCGTGTGTACATATACATACACACACACACACACAGAGACATAAAGAGAAAGAGGGAAAAATGAGATTTTTAAATAATTATAGAACCAAGTGGCCAGCACTGTTATATTAAAATCTACCAAAAAATTATACTTAGCAGCAAAATGAGGAACCTACTGACCAATGAAATAAGCTCTAAATTGCCCTAAACAAATCAATTCTATAAAAGGATTATACTATGAGTCACAAGTCTAGATAGAATCTCAATAACGTTATTTCATTCTTCTATTTTGGGGAGAAAAAAAATTACTAAACAATTCTACTATTTTTCAAAAAACCACTTCAACCAAAGGGCAACTTGATACTGAACTAGAGGTTAATCCCAAAACTGAATTTTAAATACATATCTAGATTGCTCAAAAACTGTTCATAAGTATTAAAGGAAAAGAATGACAATGATAATTTCCTTCTCCTCATCTCTTTGCTTATAGAATTCCCAAGGGAAAAAGGAGTTTCATTTTTAATTAGTAATGTAAGCAATCAAATGTGAATTGACCATAGTGCAAAGATACTACTCAATATAAACTTCCTGGTGAATGTGGCCTTTCAAAAGAACTATGGATGAGCACCAGTCTTATCCATGTAACTATAGTAAGTAGATAAAATACAAGTAATGAAAGTTCATAGGGTACTCCATTAGTTAATCTAGCCATACACTAGAGCTTCTTATTTTGAAAACAAGAAAACAAATAATAATACTGTTGTAATTATCAGATACCAAAGTACTCCATAATGTATTTCTATTATCTTTTAGAAAGCTAAATTATAAAGAAACCAAAGTTCACGTATTTTACTACTGGAAATGATGCTACTAAAATTTGATTAACTTTTTTTAAATTCCTCTCTATTTATGAAACAGTAAGGTAGTAGTATTTTCTCAGGGCGGCCAAAAAACTGGCAAGACAGGAAAGAATGTACAATGTAAGGATCAGTTTATCAAAAAAGTCTGCCAAAACAAATGTCAAGAGAACTGAATTTAGGATCAAGACCATCATACAAGTACATGTTATTATCAGTGAATAGCTCTAAAACCATCCGAAAAATATCTTTGTAAAAAATAGCATATCTATCTTACACTCACTGGATATTGGAATGGGGGGCTTGGAAAGCCCATAATATGGCTGGGGCATGAGAATGAGCTTATTTTACAAGCTAATTCAACCAGGATGGGGAGGGGCAGAGGAGGGGAAAGGAAGAAGGTGGCATTTAAATGAATGAAATCCATGACTGGAAATGAAATTTCACCATTTGGAAGTCTACAAGCACATTGGAAGTGTATGAATCCATGAAAATCTGCATTTCAATAATGGGAAGACATGATAATGGGAAAACATGTCCTGGGAAAGACCCTAATGCAGTTTACAATAATAGTATATCCTACTGACAAGGCATTGCGTTGAGGTGGTTCCAAAGAAGCCTTGGGAAACCAAAATCTCTGCTTACCTGTTGTCACCGTTATCTGAAGTAAGAACTCAAGAATATTCTTAACAGTACATAAAACTAAAATTGCAAAAGAAGGTGAAATTTTCAAATAGTTAAAGCTCTAAGTGATCAGGCTACTAGTTGACCAGAACTCGGTCAAGATAAAAAGTTATTTCTCATGGGGTAGGTAGGTCACATGCTCTAAGTAGCTCAACACAACTGACCTGAAAACGCATCGTGACCTAAGAAGCACATTCTTTACCTTCCCCAGTTTTGACATCTCACGGTACCACTGCAGGTTACATATATTAACATTAAGCAGAGGAATGTACTTATATCAAAAGGACCACAAAAGCAGGGCATGTCGACAGAAGGCAAAACACCAGGCAGGCAAAGCTGCTCTCTCTGAATGTAACAAGCACTATACATATCCCAAGTTCTCCATCTCGTTCCTGTACCGCTGCTCAGACACCTTGCTTTTATGTTGCTTGCTCTCTAAATGCTGCCGGAACTCCATCTCTTCGCCAGCCCCGACATTACACATGGAGCAGTAAAACCGGCCACTTGGAGTCACACACATGGCCAGATCACGGGGGATTCTCTGCCGAGAGCGGGGATTGAAGTAAGGACCTGCTAAAGCAAGAGATGAAAGTAGTGTAGTCACTTCAAAATATTTACTCAATAAATGATGGCAGTCTGGCTGATTATCACTGTAATTTGTCACTCTAAGTTCAAATTATAAAACTCACTGAACTCCCAGCTTTAAAAGAATGCAAAATTCCCAGATTTTCTTAAATTACAATTTTATACAGGTGCAATCTAAAAAGCTAAAATGATTCCTCCAACTATCATCAGAAAGGTTACCGTAGAGCCAAACCCAAACTCAAAATGGCAATGTCTCTGAAAAGTAAATAAAATTTTAAAAACTGTTTAACTTCCAAACATTACATGGAAACTTTTGTGATTATGCTAACTCATTAATCCAAAACTTCGACTTCTAAGAATTATCCCAAGAAAATACTGAGAATTTTTGCACGGAGATTTGTCAACAAGGACATTATTTATGACCAGTGTTCATATAAGTTTTTATCAGAGGATATGGGGAAAGGAGAGATCAAACACATGATTTGAACAATTACGGTAATGGATGCAATGGAAATCCATGCAGTCACCGTAAGTAACAAAAACTCTTTGATTACATGGAAACGTAATTATAATATGCTACTAAGTGAAACAAGAATATCACAAAATATAATCGCATTTCTATTTTAAAGAAGTATACAGATGGGAATGACATATACAAAAACGTTGGTGGGATTACTAATAATTTTATTTTCTTTTTACATAACTGACTTCTTTTTTTTTTTTTTTTAACTATGTTAAATTGAATTTATTAGCCTGTGCATTCAAAAAAAGGTAATCTAGGGGCTCCTGGGTGGCTCAGTCAGCTGAGCATCTGACTCTTGGTATCAACTCAGGTCATGACCCCAGGGTCGCGGGATTGAGCCCTGCATCAGGCTCTCCACTGAGCATGAAGCCTGTTTGGGATTCTCCCTCTCTGCCCCTCAACTCAGCTTACACTCATACTCTCTCCCTCTCTCTCTCAAAAAGAAAAAAGTTAATCTATAATTATGTAAATAAATTCTTTAGAATTCAAAATATGCAATGTGACGTATTTATAGGTAAACCAAATTATAACTAATGTATTTTAAGTTGGGGAGGTTGTTTTTTTGTTTGTATTTTGTTTGTTTTTTGAGAGAGAGAGACAGAGTGCAAATGGGGAGAGGGGCAGAGAGAGAGGGAGACAGAATCTGAAGCAGGCTCCAGGCTCCGGAGCTGTCAGCACAGAGCCCACGGTAGGGCTCAAACTCACAAACCGTGAGATCATGACCTGAGCCAAAGATGGATGCTTAACCAACTGTGCCACCCACGTGCTCCTTGGGAGGGTTGTTTGTTTTTATTGAAGTATACCTGACACATCATGTTACCTTAGTTTCAGGTGTACAACATAGTGATTCGACGATTCTATACATTATGCAATGCTCACCACCAGTGTAGCTGCCATCTGTTACCATACAACACTATTATAATACCTTTGACTATATTTCTTATGCTATACCTATTATCCTCTGACTTATTCATTCCATAGCTGGAAGGCTGTGTCTCCCACTCCCCTTCACCATTTTGCCCAAGCCGCCCTCCCCTCCCCTACTAACTATTTGTTCTCTATATTTACTTAGCATAATACCCTCTACGTCCATCCATGTTGTTGCAAAGAGCAAGATCTCATCCTTTTTTATGATTAATATTCCATAGTGTGTGTGTGTGTGTGTGTGTGTGTGTGTGTGCACGCACATGCATGTACACACCACATCTTTATCCATTCATATACTAATGGATACTTGGGTTGCCTCCATATTTTGGCTATTACAAATAATGCTGCAATAAACAGGGGTACATATATCTTTTCAAAATAGTGTTTTTGGGGGTGCCTGGGTGGCTCAGTTGGTTAAGTATCCAACTTCAGCTCAGGTGATGATCTCGCAGCTGGTGAGTTCAAGCCCCACATCATGCTCTGTGCTAACAGCTCAGAGCCAGGAGCCTGCCTGCAATTCTGTCTCCCTCTCTCTCTGCCCTTCCCCCATTAGCGCTCTGTCTCTCTCTCTTCCTCTCTCTCTCAAAACTAAATAAACATTTTTTAAAAATAGTGTTTTTGTTTTCTTTGGGTCAATACTCAGTTATGTAACTGACTTAAGTTGGACCACTGCTTATTAATTTTCTGCTTTTCTTTTCTACTATAAGAAATACTTAAGACTTTTCTCAAGATATTATTTTCACTGAATCCTACAGTTTAATCTATTTTTATTACTGTTTGGTTTTAAGAATTTTTAATTTCCAGTATGATTACTTCTTTGATCCATGAGTCATTTAGAAGTATTTTAAAATTTCCAAACGGAAATTTCATAACATTTTTTTAAATGTATTTTTTGATATTGACCTCTCATTTAATTGTATTCTGGCCAGAGAATATAGTCTAAACTGCCATCTGTCCTAAAGTTTATTTTATCTAATTTTTAATTTTTTAAATGTTTACTTATGAGAGAGAGAGAGAGAAACACAGAGTGCAAGCAAGGGAGGGGCAGAGACAGAAGAAGATACAGAATTTGAAGCAGGCTCCAGGCTCCGAGCTGTCAGCATAGAGCCTGACGCAGGGCTGAAACTCACGAGCTGTGAGATCATGACCTGAGCCGAAGTCGGATGCTTAACTGATGGAGCCACCCAGGCACCCTACTTTATCTAAAATCAATACAGCTATCTCAGCTTCCTTTCAGCTGAATTTTTTATCTAATCTTATAACACTTGTCTTTAAACTGGGACCTCAGTAAATTTACACTTACTATAATTACTGACATATATCTGAACTTCTATTAATCCTATTACATTGTGCTTTCTATATGTCCCTTTTTTCTATGCTTCTCTTGCCTTTCCAACTAACTTTTTTTTTTGTTTTTTTGTTTGATTTACTGTTCACGTGAATTACCTCTGCTGATATGTGTGTGCACTGGAGGCTGTGATGGGGAGAGAATGAAGGACTATTCAGTTCAACTCTCCCTACTGCAGATAATCAGAAAATGCAGACAACATTCCTCTAAAGTGGCAGTTCTAAACTGAAGGTGTATATGAGAATCACTGAGGAAGCATTTTCAAACCACACATATGTCTGGGTCCCACTCCCAATTTACTGACTGAAAATCTCTAAGTCATGGTTCAGGCATGTGTATTTTGTAAAAATTCCCCCAATAAATCTGATTCACCACCCTACTTAAAAGCCACTGCTATAATTTTATTTTCCCTCCAAAATGAAGATTTAACATTGTACAACTTTAAACCAAACAGCCCATTTTTATAATGCATTTTACATTTCTCAGCAGGCAAACACCAGGAGCAGTATAAAGGACTATGATCAGAGACCTTAAAATAAAAATAAATAATATACCTCAGCATAAATAAATGAATGAATGAATAAATAAATAAATAAATAAATGTTTGGAAATAAATGCCAACTTGAAAAGCCACTAGACAATTGAACAAAACAATTAGCTAGCCCCAAATTCTCAGGACTACTTATTCCCATTAAAGGAAATAAAAATAAAGAAGACCATCTGCAGAATGTAGCCAAGGTATGTGGAAATCCACAGGATACCTGAATTATTCTGTACCGTATACATATTCCTCCTATTAGGCATCATCTTATACTCGTTCCCTTCTTTCCGGGTCCGCCGCTGACCCGCCTCAGAGGATTCCCTGGAGAAAAGAAATTTTAAAAGAGTCAGACTTCTAAACAAGGATCCCTTTCAACTCTTTTTTTCTAGACAGTCTTACACAACACTTTGGCCTCAGAGAAAGTGGCAATACCTACGAGAATGAGTTACTCTGAGCTTCCGCCAGCCGCAGCCTCTTGGCATGATTCTTCCCTTGATAGTGAGCCTGAGCCACAGCCGGAGAACTAAAGGAGGCATCACAGAGCTTACAGTAATCGTTCTCTGTGGCCAGGATCACTCTGCCTCCCGGCTTAAAGGAGCCCATCTGACATCAAAGACACAAGAGACAAAGTTAAAAAAAAAAAAAAAAGTGAAGTTTATTCCCTTCTTTCCTTCAAAGTTCCCTCTAAGTGTTGAAAGATAAACAAAGGTTATGGTATGACCACAGCATTCGGCTTTATAAGGAAAGGACATAATTCATTCCAGAAAAAAAAGCAACAACAACAGAGAGAAAAAAAAATGTTGAGAGACAATGTGGTTTTGTATTACAATCACCTATGTACCGAACTGGTTAATGGCTTGTTGCTATCTCCATGGAGAAATTTTTTAAAAGAAACATAGAAGATTCAGGGCAGTACAGGTAAGGCCTAATATCACATTATCAGAAAGGTAAAGTCCATCCAGAATCCATCAGCAAGCCTTTAATGAATGCCTACTGCTTTTAGGGCTTGCTACCTAATGCAGAAGGGATATACAGACATATATTTACAAATGAGCCCCTCTCCCAAAGAGTCTAAAAATTAGCTACAGATGTAACTGGGGAAAAATAACCAACAGATTCAGACAACTGTATTCAGCTGAGAAACGAGTTATGAGAAACCTAACACAGTGCCTGGAAGATAGTATCTACTCAATAAATACGGTTAACAAAAAAAGACAAACTAGATTTTGGCTAGAGGAGAATAAAATACATAATAAGGAGCCTGGAAAGCATATCGTATTAGGACCAACTGAGGGAAACAGTATTGTTTCATCTGGTCAGAAAGATTTTCTGGGGACAGGATAGCTGTCTCCAAAAATCACAAAGGGCTAAGCTGTGAAAGAAGGTGATGGCTGTTTGCTCAGGAGGCAGACACCAGCTGAAAACAGTCCCCAGCCAGGAGTGACCATCTCATTCCAGAGCAGCCTTGAGGAATAAGGGCCCTGTAAACTGCTCAGCCTGAAAATCTGTCTGGGTATTTTCCTGTCCTTTGACTCTGTTTTTACCTTCTCTCATTTACCCCACAAACTTGTGAGGATGGAAAGATAGCTGGAATGGCTGTCCACACTTCAAATACTGGAAAACTGATGTTCAGACAAGAAAAATTATGCTGTCATGGTTAGTAGAGGTCCAAGGTCAAAAGAAATTCTTGTTCCACCAATTCACAAAACATGTAATGCCATGGACAAGTTACTTAGCTTACCTGAGCTTCTAATAAGCCCACGGATTACATGCCCACTAATAAGGCCAATACCTCTACATTCTTGGAAGCACTAAATGCAATCAGGGTCCAGGACTAGAATGAGGCAAGATAAGCATTTGCCATGGGCATGAAATTTAAGGGTGTATCAAAAAACTCAGCCATCAAGATAAATAATATTTTAACGGAACATTCTTACAAATCAAACCTGATGCCAAAAGAAATCAATGTAAACAAAGTATCAAAATTTTAAATACAGACAGGATCAGGAATAGCGCCATGCCAAGCCATATGGCAGCCAAGGCAGAAGGAAAATCAGTAATACCTACCCCATCTTTAAGTTGTTGACATTTTGTTTACTACTGATTTTTTCAAATTAATTTTGGATTTTTACAATATGACATTAAAATATTTATCTTGATAACTGTTTTGGCTCCCTCTTAATTTTTGTGCCTAAGTCAAGTACATCCCTGACCTCATCTTAGTCCCAGCGCTGAATGAAGTGATGCATGAAAAGTGCTTAGCAGAGTGCCTGGCATAATAAGTGCTCAATTAGAGTTATTATTATCTATGACCATGTATTGTTCTACGGACAAAGACAGATGAAGGAATACAATCCATATTTCAGAGACTGTTACCGAGTACAGGATTTCTTGCCTCAAACACCTGCTTTACCTACTAAAGAGTGAAAGAACTTGGCTCACCAGTATGTGTCATTACACCAAAGTCCAGATAAAGTTTATACAGGCTCTCGCCATAGAGGTAAGAAAGCGGTAATCTGAGAAAACTGACCTTGCTGGAAGGCAAACAGGAAGTCAGGGAGATTAACTATAATAAAGATATAAGTGTTTAAGAACCTCTCTTTTCATTCAGAGCTTAGCCTAGACATTCAGACTTATTTAACCCAGAATTTTGAGAAATGCTTAGAGAAAAGTACATGTACCAATATTTGTTTCATCATTTCATGCATCGCAACCAAAGCCAATGAGAAATCTCGAGGGTTATGGATGTTGGCAAGCTTTACATCCAGCACTACAGTTCAAGGAGTTAAAAGTACCAAGGAGAGGGGCGCCTGGGTGGCGCAGTCGGTTAAGCGTCCGACTTCAGCCAGGTCACGATCTCGCGGTCCGTGAGTTCGAGCCCCGCGTCGGGCTCTGGGCTGATGGCTCGGAGCCTGGAGCCTGTTTCCGATTCTGTGTCTCCCTCTCTCTCTTCCCCTCCCCCGTTCATGCTCTGTCTCTCTCTGTCCCAAAAATAAATAAATGTTGAAAAAAAAATTTAAAAAAAAAAAAAGTACCAAGGAGAACCTTTTGGGAGTATTTGCCCAACTCTACCTTGATGGGCTCATGGATGACAAATTTCATCCATGACCACTTGTGCACAGGTCAACTTCCACCGACACACGCATCTCACCTGTGGAGGGACCGGAACCGCTGGGGCGGCCACAGGTTCCACCACGCTGCTCATTCTGGCAGCAGGAGGACAACTGTTTGCTGCATAGTAATTTCGGAGTTTCTTACCGTGATTTTTACCCTAGAAGTAAAATGAAATGAGTAATCACCATGAAGAAAATCTGTCAAATTGAGTTAATATACTCACTAAAAACACAGAAATAAGGGGAGAAAAACCCAAGCGATGTTACCTACATTTTATTTTTTCAGATATATGCAACAGTGGGGTAAAGAGACTACTAGATCTTAAAGTAAAAGAGTCTACTCTTTGGTTCCAATAGAATGATTTATCTGGGAAAGATGAGGGAACAAAGCCAAAAAAATCTGAATTTCCTATTATTTCTGGAAAAGTATCGCATTTTCCAGTGATCTATGTCCTCCCCCAACTTGTTGCCATTCATACGCCACTGCCTAAATATGAGTTTTATTACACTCTGATCTAATCTACTTTATAAGTCAGTAATGAAATGGATAATCCAGTTATTTTTACAAAAATAGCACTTGCAGAGTATCTTTTTACTTGCAAAGGACTCTCCTGTGCATCAGCTCATTTGCTGCTCACAAAATTTCCTGTAAGAGGAATTTGTTAGTATTTCCCACACGACAGCTGAGGAACTCAATCTGGAGACGGTGGAGGACTTGCCCCTGGCACCTTCAGCTGGGGTGAGAAGTGGAGCCAGAGCTTGGGACAGGCCCTCTGTATTGAGAGCAAGCCCCTTTTGACTATATCAGGATGGCTTCGGGAGGCACTGTGTACCTCTACTAAAATGCATTTGCCTCTCTCGGTGTGTTTTAAGTTGTTATTCACACGATTATATTCCCTGAACTGACAGAAACTTCAAGCCTGTAGGCAAACATTCATTCACCATCTACTACAGGCTAAGCCCTAGAAACGAAAAGACCTAGCACACACTCAAGAGGAGGAGACAGATATATAAGCAGGTAATTAAAGTAAGGCGATAAATTCTACCTTCTGACCACTGGAATGCCCTAAAGGTGCTTTTGCCAAAGTCACGTGACCTTGTGGTCAAACTCACATCTGTGGCTTCACCACATTCTAACTCTAAGCAGCATGACACCATTGCTACTCCCTTCTATTGTCTTCTGTGACTCCCACTTACCTCCTGACTTCTCATACTCTAAACTCTGCAACATCCAAAGCTCCACCGTTGGCCCTCTTCTCCATCTACATTATTTTACCCTCATAGCTTTAAAATAATCAACAAGTTAGTAGCTCCCAAATTATCTATCTCCATCCCTATTTTGGACTGAAGGATTGTGTCCCACCAAAATTTGTATGTGGACATCTAATCTGGAGGTGGAGCCTTTGGGAGGTGGTTAATCACTGTCCTTATAAAAAGAAGGCCAAGAGCTCCCTCACCCTCCTCATTCTGCTATGTGAGGATCCAGGGAGACGTTGGCTGTCCGTAACGTGGAAGAGGACCTTGCCAGAATCCAACCATGCTAATACCCTGATCTCAGACTTTCGGCCTCCAGAACTATGAGAAATGAAACTCATTCTAGCTCCAGGGCTTTTGTACTTGCTGTTCCTTTTGCCTGGAATGTTCTTCTTTCAGTTCTCTGCATGGCTAGCTCCTTCTTATCTTTCAGGTCTTAACTCAAATGGCATCTCACTGAATGCCATCCTCCCCTACTCTGCACACACATACTCTCTAACACGTTACCACACCGTCTGGCTTATCCTAGTTCCACTTAGCATGATCTGAAATGACACTGTTTGGTTGGTTTTTTATCTCTTTTGTACTTTCTGGAATGTAGACTCCTTAAAAATAAGGACCTGTCTTGTTTACTCTTCTATCTCCAATGTCTAGAACAGCTTCTAGGCACCTGTCTGGTTCAGCCGGTAGAGTGTGCAGCTCGGGTTTGTGAGTTTGAGCCTCACGTCAGATGTAGAGATTACTTAAAAATAAAATAGTAAGTAAATAAATAGATATAGAACAGTTTGTAGCATATAGCAGGCAATCAGTAAAGATTTGTTGGCTAAATGAACCAAGTAATATAATGGAGATAACAAATACACTGCCAAGAGAACGCAGAAAAGGAATTTCTTAACTCTGGCTGAATGTGTCAGAGAAGGCTTCCCTGAAAAGGGAACAATCAAGTAATCTTTTAAAATGAGCAAAAGTTTACCAGGAAGGTAAGGAGTGAGGGGAAAGAAAATTGTGAACAGAAGAAATACTGTAAGGAAATACTGTAAGCAAAAGCCCAGCCTGCCCTATTGAGGAATCACAAGAGAGACAGTCTTCTGGAGAAGAGAAGGACTTGAGATACATAGTGGGCTTAATGGCGAAACAGATCTTGGACTTCAGAGGCAGCAGGGAGCCCCTGAAGGACTCTAAGCAAAGTAGTTACATGACTGGATTGCATTTGATAAAAATCAACCTGGAATTAGCACGGGGGATAAGTCAGAGTAGATCAAAGCTGCAGCTGGATAGATGGAACAGAGCTAAGGACAAAGCCCTGGGACAATATAATGTAACCGTGTAGTAAGAATGAGGATCAAGAAAAGGAGATTGAAAATGTCTGGTCCATCAAATAAAATGAAAACCAGACAAGTATGGTATTATGGAAGCTAAAATAAAGTGTTTCAAAAGAAGAGTCTAATTAGATACATTATGACCCAGGAACTGTACTACATATCACCAAACAGAAACATACGTATAAGGAGATATCTATAAGTGTTCCTAGGGGGCGCTTGGGTGGCTCAGTCAGTTGGGTGTCCAACTTCAGCTCAGGTCATGATCTCACCATTTGTGAGTTTGAGCCCCACTTCAGGCTCTGTGCTGACAGCTCAGAGCCTGGAGCCTGCTTCGGATTCTGTGTCTCCCTCTCTCTCTGCACCTCCCCTGCTCACACTCTATTCATTAAAAAATTTTTTCTTAAAGCATGTTCCTAGAAGGACTGTTAGTAACATTGAAAAGTAAAAATAATTCAAGTGTCCATCTACAGGATAATGCATAAATCATAGTCTGTTCCTACAATGAAACACTATACAGTAGTGAAAAATAAACATTCCAGGGCCATGCATGGCAACGTGAACGATTCTAACAACATGCTGAACGAAAAGAACAAGTTGCAAAAGGAGATATATAACAATAATTTTTTAATATGGGAGTTAAAAATATGAAGAGCCACTACAGTTTACATAAGGAAACAGTATGTAGCAAAAGTACAAAAAAGTAATGGAACAATAAATATCAATTCAGTACCGTAGCTACACTTAGGAGCACAGGAGAGGATACAATTTGGGAAGGGATGCATGGGGGCTTCAACTGAATGGATAATTTTCACTCTTTCAGCTTGATGGCAAATATGCAGGTTCATTATCTTATTTTTGTGCTTTTTTATGTCTGAAGTATCTCATAAAAATTTAAAACAATACTAACAACGACAAGAAAAAAAAGAGTTGTTCACCAGGTTAAATGCTACTGTGGGGTTGAGTAACGTCAGGACAGAGAAGTAATGCTTGGATTTAAAATCAGAGGTTGAGTAACTTTGCTAGAACCATTTCAATAGAGGGGTTAAGAGGTGACATGGAGGGGCTTGGCGAGACAACGGGAGATGTGAAAACAGAAATAACTAGTATAGGCAAATGTTTAGAAGGGTTCTATGACAGAGCAGGGAGCAGACATATAGGGTGGAGAGTGAGAAAGGGAAGTGGGTCAAGGGAAGGCTGGTTTCAAATTTGGGTTTTACTTAGGCTCGTTTGCATGACAACAGAAGGAAGTCAGTAAAACCTGAAGAACAGATGGTACAGGAGCCAAAGCATGTCCGTGAAAAGGCAGAAGAAGACGAGGCACATGGTACTACAGGAAGAGCCAACATTAGACACTATTCACAAGTTTCAAGCCGACGTTACGTCCATAACAAAATGACAATCACGGCAACTAATGTTTTTTAGCATTCCTGTGATAAGCGGTGTTCTAAATACTTCATATATATTATCTCCTGTAATCTTCATGAAATCTCCATCAAGTAGGTATAATTACCATCCCCGTTCTACACATGAGGAAACGGAACTCAGGAGAGTTAAAAACTTGCCCAAGAGTTTCCAGATAGCTAGGCAGCAGGTACCTGGGCTTGTGTGTCCCCATCTACCCTCTACAAACAATACAGAACAGTAAGGAAAACAAATAAAACTACACAAAAGCCATGCCTTCCACATAACAAGAAGGCACAGAATGCCCAGACTTCAACATAACTATAAGTAAAAATGGAGAAAACATCAAATCCCAGGAAGCACTCACTCACACTTCTGCCACATGCATTCACAGTAAGCAAGAGAGTCTTTCTGCAGGAAAGAGAGAAGAGGAAGCTAGCAGCAGACCTAAAATTGCTTTCAAACCACCACCAGGAAAAATAAACCCACCCTAAGTTTGTAAACACTAAAACATGATCTGGTGGAGCAGAGCACTCACTACTGAACGGGGCTTAAATGTACACATGATCTGAGGCAGCAAAGTGGCTTCTGGAGGAGAAAAAGACAAGAAGGAAGGGAGAGGCACCTTTTGGCACATGGGAGGCAAAGGGCGGGAAACAACAAAACAGGAAAAGCTAGCATCCTACAAAACAACAACAACAAAAATTAGAGGACATACAAACCACAAGAAAGAAAAAAAAAAAAAAACAACCTGAAGAACTGAACTTTGCTACGGTCACAGAAGAGACTGTCACTGAATTAAGACTCTCATAAAGCACCCCAAATCCTCATAATGAACAGATGAAAACTAGTCAGTTCTTTATTTTATTTTATTTTTGAAAACTAATCAATTCTATACAAAGTTATTACCAAAAAAATTAACACATCTCAGCCAATGAACTCCACCCCCCAAAAAAAACATATGAAACAGAAGAAAACCATTAAGACAATACTCCAATTTGAACTAATATAGTCATTTGTTTGGAAATCTGAAACATCACCTTATCACCTTCAATCAGAATCCAAGAGGTACAAGGAAAAATGCACAAAAGAGTAAGAAATGAAAAGAAGGGTAATTAAACTTAGGAAAGAAAAAAGAGAATTTTATCAAAAATGAGAAGTAAATGCGTGCCAAAGGAAAA